TTAAATACTTTAATTCTGAAATTTTGTATTCGCTATAAGTACCAGTATCAGTATCAGAATCAGTATCAGAATAAAAATCAGTATCTATATCAGTATACATGACTACATAAAAATGCAAGGGGCATGAGAAAAAAGGTTACAAAAATTACCTTAACTCATGTTTACACTTTTTTTGACATATACCTAACAGTGATAAGGTTAATAGTATTTTATTTGAAAGAATCAGAAACGAAAATTGTTGAAATGTTGAAATTTTTCAATTTTTTTATTAAATATTTATTATACTTAATTGGTTTCTAAAAATAAATTTGCGTAGATTCCTGAATGGGATTTTTCAGCCTCATTACCTTACGAGTATGTTTACTTTCATAAACACCTAATCCGAATGAATTACAACTGCATACACGTAAGCTGTCGGTCATGAAACCACAGTAAGTCCAATTAAACCTTAACGAACAAAACCAATTAAATATTAGAATTTAAATTATTCATTATGTTGTGAATTTTTCGTGAAATTTATCGACCCATAAAACTCCACAACAAAATCAGTTACATAACGAGTAAAAGTCTGACATTTCCCCGTCTCATATTTCTGCAAGAAATGGATGAAAACTGTGCTAGACATCGAACTCTCTTCATTTCTTTTATTTTAACGTGCAGTCAAACTGGTTCATTGCCACTTTTACTCTCGATCTAGAATAATCTCGCTTTCCACACACATGACGGAAACTCGGAAGTGTCTCGTAACAACAAAATTGAAAAATCTCGCAGAATGTCGTCTAATTTTGGGCCACTTTCTCGCATGCGGCCGGAATTGTATCGTAAAAGCGTCATTAAAACACTGCCGACGTTCGGAAGCCATTACGTGACAGTTTCTACAGAAATGCCCTTGACTGCTAATTAATCGTGAATGGCGGACTGGCCAAGCGGAACTCGTAAAGTTACTAGTGCGCAAAATGGCACGTTTTCGCCCTCTGGAACAAGACGATTTGACCGGATTATGCAACGCTCGGGTACTTTTCCGTATCGGGACTTTCGAAATTGATTTTCTCGATTATGGGATAAATCATAATTGTTAAAACATTAGTTTCATAATACAAATGCTAATTTATATTAGAAAGGTGGCCACTTTGAACTGGTAAAAGGTTCCGACCTCTAACAGCATCAGGCTTATGTAAAGAGGGGCTACATGGGGTTTCAAAATTGAACTGTTTCGATTTCAGTTGCTTCAGAACTTGCGTAAGGATGTGCGTGTCATCAATAGCGCCTTAAATGGGATAATTGAGCAAGAAATACGGTGTAAATTGTGTTTTTCCGAGAACTGAAAAAATCAACAACAAGCAAAAGTGTTCAAATGGCGCTTTAGCAATTTTCTCTTGATTTGCAATTTTCCTAATTTGGTTCGAGCACCTGATACACTATTTACATTTACTTCAAATGTAGGGTAATTGTTAAAGGAATTTTTTATAATACGAACAATACACAATATGTCTACAAGTATAAATCAATCATTTGCTGATTTCACTAAACAATTTTAATCAAAAGTTTTCTCCTTGTTTTATAAATATGTCATCACAAATTCTGCTCAAGAACGGAAAACATATCTCACTCTTTTTTGTCGGTTGAAATCAGTAGCATTTTCAAAATCAAAATCTAAGCTAAACAGACGAAATTACGAAAGTATTTTAGTGGCAAAACTGCAAAAGTAAGAAATTTAAACTTCAACATAAGTACATATATAATTAACTAAATTTTGTGATTTTTTCAATAGTCGTTACAACTATCATAATACAAACTAAAAAGTTTTAATTCATGTTGTGTTTTAAATAATAAATTTTGATTTTTTGATTTTATTTGACAAACTCAAAAAGTAATAGTAATTTTTATTACAAGAGAAGAAAGTGTATTTCCATTTATCGAAGAAGATAAAAATTTTCCTTCCTATTGAGAGGTCACATATATTTTTATTGTAATTTTGACAGATGAGGGAAGTAAAATTTTGACCTTTCTGGAAGGTAATTAGCCACTTTTTTTTCTAAAATTAGGCTTACTTTCTGTTAGGGTCGTACTGTTGTTGAAACAACAAAATTGAAGTGTCATACTTTCTTAATTTTCATATGCATTAAAGTATTTTTGAACTTTGCTGTATAGCTTTAGTTGCTCTGGCAATAAAGTTTTTTAAGTAAAAAAAAAATTTGATTATTACTTTATGATTATGAATAAAATTAATTCTTTATAAGTATAAATCAATCATTTACTAAACAACACTAAACAATTAAGAATGCAATAGGTTTTTTTTATGTTTCAATCAGAAAACTTTTTAGTTTTCAGTTTCTATTCCCTGTTTCATAAAATTTATTATAACAGACTCTAGTCAAAAGCCGAGAATTGTGGTTATTTAACACATTTCAGAATATTTTTGTTGTTGTTTGAAGTGAGTGGCGTTTTTAGAAAGGTATTACCTTTTTTGTAAAAAAAAAATTCTGATATGTTTTTCATTGTTACAAATACGAAAATCTAATCTAAAATAGATGAAATTTTTGAATTATTTTAGGAACCAAAAAACTATAAAAATGATAAATTTTGTGATTTTTGTCAATAGTTGTTAAACCTTTACGATAAAATAAGTTATTGTACCTTAACTTGACAAACTCAAAAATTAAAATTTATTTTGTAACAAATTTAACAACTTGTACAAAAAATAATACATAATAAAAATTACAAAAGACAGGACAACATTATGAGAACTAAGAGTTAATTACAGGAGGAGAAAATATTAATAGCTATTTACTTATTACAACCAAGTACTGAAAGCGAAAATGAGAAAGAGAATTTTCGTTGGTTTAGCAAATATTTTATTAAATTTCAAATTTTTAATAATATTCCGAATAAAAGATTTAAGTAAATAAGAAAGAATTTTTAATGAGGTTAATAAAACCGTAACAGTACAATTAGTACACTGAACAACAAATAATGACCTAAAAATTTTATCGTGTATAAAAATTATTTTATGTCAATATTTTAAAGATTATAAAGTGAATTTAGCAACCGAATTAAAATATTAGTATTTCCAATTTTGATTTACTCGATTTACTTCTAAACATTAGAACATTCAAAAGAGTTGATTATCCACATTTTGTGCAATTACACGCAACTTATTTTTGCTGCTCCCATAGTTCAGATATGCAAATTAAAAAAAAATGAAAAATCAATTCTTAGATGTAATAAGTTTATTGATGTTACAAAGAATTAATTGACAAATATAAAATATTTACAGTTAGTATTTTATGTTGACAAATAGAAAATATTTAAAGTTACTATTCCTACTATTTACTATTTTTTTTCTTCCTGATACCAACAATATCTTAAAGTCCTTTCGCATATGAGGGCGCTTTTTAAAAAATCCATATTACAAAAAAACTGGAACTAACTTTAAATTTTTATGATCATATTTGAGCTTTCCAACCCAAAATCAGTTAGAATTAGTAAAAAAAATTCCGATAATTTTTGTTGTTGTTCAGTGTAATTTAAAAATATTTTGCAACAAAGAATTGAGAGTATTTTTATTTATACTCGTAAAAGTACATTGATAATCACTTTTTTGGCGCTTCCACCATATTTTCAGTTAATTTAACCGGTAATTCTATCACCTTTTGCAACTTCTAGTGTTTTCAGGTTTTTTTTGAAACTTTTTATTCATATATAGTATTATTATTATTATTTTTTAAAGTAATTGTATATTAGAATATAATTTGAATCATTAAAGGTAAATTAAGATAACAATTATAATAATTGTTATGTAGAGAAGTAAACGCGAAAAATTTTCACTTTCCATTAACATTTTTTCAGCCACTTTACGGAACTTAATTTTGAAATACATATATCATGTGATAATTGAAAGTTTCATATAACAAGAATCTTCACCAAACGCAGTCACGCATCCTTTCTATCGGAATTTTTTTACATGTTAAAACAGTTATCAATGTCGGTTATATAATAGTGGCTCTTCACTTTTGCCATGGTCAGTTCTACTCGTTTCCCATGGGTTTTGGTTGCGTGTGGAGTAAAAACTTTCATTGTAATGAATTTTTTCACACTCAAGACCAAAAATAACATGCTTTCAGACTAATTTTCATTAAAAAAATAAACAAAAAGAATCGAAATACATAAAATTTACTTATAATATACATTCTGGAACAAACAATGTAACAAAAAAACAGAAGCCTAAAATTACTCAACAAGTCGATATAAGCTATTTCAGTCAAGTTTGAGTGACTCCAAAACCAAGTTCAGCGCCAGTGAAAGCGAACCATTTCGAATTATAAGCCGTTTGCATTTCCTCTTTTATGCAACTTTCCAGCAACATCTTGCAGACCTGATCATAAACAAGAAAAAAACAGCCGACTTTCACGCACAACTGTTGGTAGAACTGGTTGCCTGAGTCACTCTACTACACCTACTCAAAAACCTCCTCAATGTTTGGGTTTGGGCCTCCTCTTCTTATAGTGGTGCGCCGGAGCGTGCTTTTTGAAAATGTTGTGCCCCTCCTCAAAATCATAGTTTTTGTGATCGCTCTCCCAGTCGTTCTGCAAATCGAGATCTTCCTCTTTGGGGTGGTAGCTGTGCAAATCCAAGGGCTTTTCCTTCTCCTTCTCGTGGAAGTAGTGGTGGTGTTCGGGCACTTTGACCAAGTGGGGTTTCTCTTTTTCGTGGAAGTAGTGGTGGTGTTCGGGAATTTTGATGATTTTTGTGTGGTAGACGGTCTTGATTTTGGTGGGGACGTGGATGCGGTGGTGGACGCTGAAATAAGTGGGTTAGATGCGTTTTGGGGGTTGGGGGACTTACTGGTGACCGGGGGAGCCCAGGGTTTGCTCCAAGGTTGCAAGGAACAAGATCAAGACACTGACCTGGAAATGAGGGATTACGAAATTTCAAGAGCAAGTTTGTTTATTTTCATGCAGGAACATTAATTATTATGAAGAGGTACTGGTTTTGCAATGAGATTATTTCATCTCTTACATACTAATAGATGAACTTAAAAAGTGTAACAAAAACTAAAAAATTGTGTTTTTATTTTTTATGTGACTTTTATAGAAATCAATAAAAAATAAAGACTTATTTAAATGTTCCAAAAACATGGTTTTATTTATTTTTTCAAAACAA